TATTCAAATTGTAAAAAAAAAATGTAACTTTATAATTTTACCCTTCTTTGTAATTAATGAACATGATAAATAGGTATTTAGGAATTAAATGACAATAAATAAATAAGGAGTAAAATTGAAAAAGACAACATTAATTACTCTAACTTTATCTAATATTTAAGATTAAAAAATCTTAAACTTTATTTTATATTAAGGAGCGGAAGGGTATGTCTTTGGTGGCTAGCAAGGGCAATGGTGAGAAGTGTAATATGTTGGAGGAACTGTTATGGTGAGAATGCTGATGCAGGGAAAAAGAAGGGTATTGATAATTTATTTATTTATTTATTTGTTTGTTTTTTAACTTGAGGGTATGGGTAGGCTGTATTTCAGGTGCTATAATTCGGCTTTGATTTTATAGGTTGTAATTGTATGATAGGTTCATTGCTTTCCTTTTTTCATTTACAGGTGAATTTTTAAAAAATCTTTTTTTATTACACACACACACACTGAAAAGTAATACCCTAAATCTCACTTGTTATTTTCATTATCCCTTTGTGAATAAAATTACTACACATGTACTGTGTTTCACGTTGTGATCATTGATCTTTTTAATTTTCACTGAAATCACCTTTTAACTTTTGTAGTATGTTTAAATTTGGCTTATTCGAAATCTTATGAGAATTTAATATATGGTAATTATTAAATAGTTAATTAAGAGAATGAAAAGAATCAAGAGATGAGGATTCTAGTATTATTTTTTTTTTTTAACCTTGGTCTTAGTTAAATTGAATTCAGAAAATGTAAATATTAATAAGAAAAGGATATTGTTGAATAACATCAATACTAGAATACATAAATTAAAAGATTTAACTTAATTGGCTATAACAGTACATCTATTGTCTCGTATCTCCTACCCATTCATCAGCAAAGTCATTATCTTTTCTTGTTTAGCACATCGACCAATATGTTAACTAATTTAACTTTAGGACAGGCCAGTTTCTAATTAGGAAACTCTTCTCAGTGTGTGTGTGTGTTTTTTTTTTTTAACGATGACACTAAAGCTCCAAAACTTAGAATTTAAGACAATTATACCAAATTTTCTGAAAAATTAATTATAAATATTAATTCAAATAGTCATAAATTATGAAATTTTAATTGCAAATAAGACATTTAAATTTTAAATATAACTCTTAATTTATAGTTGGAATTCATATTTACAAGTTTCCAAATTAATATTTACAATTTATTTTTTAAAAAAATTCATCAAGTACTTAGCTATCATAAATTAAGTTACATATTATTTTGGTTACTATCTACTTATCAATTGCAGTGAAAAAGCGGAAGAAAGAAGGTGGAGGTTGTCAATTTGTTATGACGATAGGGAAAAAAAAGTCGGTGCGGTTAGTTGAAGAAGATGGGAGAGAAAATTTTAATAAATTCAATTTTAAAAAAATTGTAGAAGTGAGATTAAAAGCTTTTAATTAATTTTATTTACTATTTTATCTTACATATTTGTTTATTAAAATGTTATAATCCCACTTATCAATTTCTCTTAAATCAAACTAATTAAAATCTCTTATTCCCTCCACTCAAACAAAGGAATATAAATCATTAACGAAAGTTTGAATAATTCAACATAAAGGATATATCATAGATTGAAGTTTTTCTTTTAACATGAATCAATCAAAAAACCAACAACCATGGAATTTTGACTTAAGTGGTCAAGAAAGGATTTGATCCTATGATCCTTTAACTATCTAAAAAGACCACCAAACCTTTTAATTATATATATATATATATATATATATAATATGTATATATATAAGTGTTAAACCAAACTTTTAACCACTTTTATGTTATAACGGTATGTTATTAATTTCTAAACTACACTTGTTATTTTACTAATATTACTTGCTAATATGACAATAACAACTACAAATTATGAGCTTTAAAACTTTATGTATTTTACTTGTTAAACATTCAAATATCTTGTTAATAACTAATAAATTGTATCTAGAACCCGAATGGATACTTGTTGAAAAAAAACTAACACATGCAATTAAATATATCTCATCAATTGTTCTAACTTGTTAAAGCCTAAGTGAAATGTTATTAATTTAGAATTATTTATTGTTAAAACCTAAATATATACTTGTTAATAAAAAAGTAACATTTATACAATTAAACCCATCTTATTCATTTTTTTAAATGAATTATTGTTAAAACTCGAATGGATACTTGTTGATAAAAAATTAACATGTAAAATTATGTCTATCCAATATGTTTTTATAGTTTATTAAAGCTTGAATGAACTGTCATTGATTTAAAATGACTTGTTTACACATTTGTTCCATTTGAAAACACTCTATTCAGGCTTAACAAGTTAAAAAATTGAATATGATAGACAAAATTATACATATTAGTTTTTTCTCAACAAGTATCCATTTGAATTTTAATAATAACACATTCTAAATTAACATCAGTACATTCAAGCTTTAACAAGCTAAAAAAACATAAAGGATGCACATAATTGTATGTATTAATCTTTCATCAACAATTATCCATTCAAATTTTAATAATAAGCCATTTTAAATTAACATCAATCTGTTCAAGCTTTAATAAGTTAAAAAAACAAATATGATGAGCTAAATTATTAGTCTTTTATCAATAAATATTCATTTAAATTTTAACAACAAAACATTTTAAATTAACAATATTCCATTTGAGTTTTAACAAATTAAAAAAATGAATACAATATGCATAATTGTACATGTTAGTATTTCATCAACAAGTACCCATTTAAATTTTAACAACAAATCATTCTAAATTAATAACATTTCATTCGAGTTTTAACAAGTTAAAAAAATGAATAAAATAGACTTAATTGTACAAATGTTACTCATTTATCAACAAATATACATTTAAGTTTTCATAACAATTCATTCGAAATTAATAATAATTTATTCAAGTTTTAACAAAGTTAGAAAAAACTGATAGAATTAGCTTAATTGTATATGTTAATCTTTTCTCAATAAATATCTATTTAAATTTTAACAATAACCCAACAATATATTCAAACATTTAAGAAGTAAAATGCATGAAGTTTTAAAACTTTCAACTTGTAATTGCATGTTATATTCACAAATAACATTAATAAAATAACAAATACAATTCAAAAATTAACAACATATTATTATGTTATAATATAAAAGTAGTTAGAAGTTTGATTTATTATTTACTATTTACTTTTTCTTTTTCTTTTTTTTGTGGCAAATATAATTATAGAGCTTGGTGACCACTAGGCCATCAAACCTTTTAGGTGATTAATAGGTTATAAAATTAAACCCTCCCTTAACACCTTGAACCAAATATTTCTTGAAAAAATGTCACATGTGCCGAAACTCCAATGGCCAGCTGGCAATGACCTTGTCGGTGGTAGGAGGCTTCGACAACTTCATTGCCAAGGGGCCAGCAGCAATCCAACACCCAGCATTGGTGAGAGTGGAGAGGTGGTTTTTTTTTTTTTTTTTTAAACTTTTAGGGATAATTTAATCTTTTAACCTCACAAATTAATATTAGTTAAAGACCAAAATACTACATTACAATTTTAAAGTCAATTATTCATTAACTGATATTAATTTGATATTGAATTCCATGGTTGTTTCCCCCTGAATTAATCATTCTAGAGTAGGGTCCTGCATACCATGTGAACTATGCCATTGAAAGCTGAGAAAAGCACCAATGGCCATATACTTGATCATGTATAATACTTCAAGCATTTTAGCTCTTGCCACTGTAATTTTAAAAAATAAAACCCTCAGCATAGCTAATCCATTTATAGATACTATTTGATGAGCTAGGCTCCATTACAAATATCTCAATCCTTAATGTTACCTTGTCACTCCATTCTAGTGGGATGAGATGAGTAGGACTGAGTGTTAGACAATGTCATGCTTGGAAGGAAATCGAAATGAAAAATGTTTTATAAAACAGGGGAAATCAACCCACGGTCCACACACTTTAGATTAGCTTTTATATTGGCCCCTATACTTTAAAAAGTTTTCAAACTCATCCTCATGGTCTACGCTAGGTTGTATCATATGATTAACCCCCTACATATAAATTATATATTAGCAAAACAATCCTCCAAATGTTGAAATGAGATTCCATGTAACTTTCTTTCATTTCTATTGCTTTTGCACATTGAGCAGGATGTCTAGCTTTTCCTCCCCCTCAAAAAATATAAATAAAATAAAATTAATGTATAATAATTATTACAAGAATACAGGAATATAATAGACATTACAAAATTGATGCCTTTTTATTTTTACTATCCACAGACTAAACGTGCTCTTAAAGTTTAATTTGAATATTAAATCATTCAGAGTCACTACCACCCCTGAAAAACAGAAAAGGAAAGGAAGGGAGGGGGAATTGAAAGGGGAAGAATAGCTTTGCTTGATTGTTCTTCCAATAATTTAAAAGAAGAAACTCATCCAGGAGAGATCAAGATTATATCCAGGGTCAAAACTGGGAACTGGGAAGGTGAAAAGGACTACGGTTTTACAAAATTACAGGAAATTATGTCAAATAATCACTCCACAAAATAGGTTCAACTTCAGCAAATTTTACCTTACATCCAACATTTCGTCCATCAACAGGCAAGTAAATTCACCTTCATGATAATATTCACCTATTCTGCATATACAATTGGAGATATCATGCATATTGCGACCATCAAGATTTAACAGTTCCTATGAACTAAACTATGAGCAGAGTCAATCTTTGCTAGCAATCAGAAACAATCAATTAGCAATGCATAGACTAAATGCCAGACGCAAAGTAAAGAATTTTGTACCACCCGTGAACAGAATAAAAGGTGAGGATATCCAGATGGTAATTTAGTAACTAACATTGCATAGGGCCTTTAGCGTTTCATCCCACCAAATGCTTTCCAAAGAATCAAACCCCATGTTAAGGATTTCTCATAAAGCTAAATCCATTTTGGTAAACCAAGGGAATTTAGAGGATAAATGTGCATGAATAAAAAACATTCAACGTTGAAATCAAGGTATACAGAGAAGTCGAGATGAAGGACAACTTATTCACAAGAAGAGCTTTTACGGAGGTAAAAAGCACCTCCCAAGGGATTGCAATAAAAAATAAAATCCCTATTGGTCTAACAAGTATTGGGAACAATTTAAAAGGTTTGAATATTCATTCATACAATCCTCTTGAATTTGTTCGACTGGGTATGACTATGTAAAAGCATGTTGTTCTTCAAGTTCATAGCTAGAGAAACGAAGCAAAGCACTTTTCCCAGGACACCATTACTAGGATGGGAAAGAAAAGAGTTCAAGTCAAGAATTTTGAAGATGTAAAACCTTGCCAAATTCTTTTTCGTCGCATGGCCATAACTGAAGTTGTCTACAATCAAATTGGATCTGGAATCATGAGCATGGATGATGTTTCAGATGCTCAGAGGCAGACGTAGAATTTCAAATCCAACCCAATCAAAATCAAAATAAGAATAAACTTAATACCCAAAAAATTACAAAGTCCAGATTTCATTAAACTCATGAACAAACCAATCAGCCAAATCAGATGTCTAGAAAAATCTACATTAAAATCTCAGCATGGAATGTAGTGTACAAGCATATCTGTAAGTTGTTACTGGAAGCAACAGTAAAACAAAATCACTGATGTTCTATGTGAGACTGCTCCTTCAATTTCAGCTTTTCCAGAATGACTACCAGACTTACTGTTCCTTACTTAAAGCACATTCTTCACCTTATATATAATCAGCTTTTTCAGATATTCATGCATTAAGCAGTTCTCATACTGTAGGATTTTTATACTTATTTAACTAATTAACCAAAAAAATAAAAACCGAAATCTTGACATGCAACACTCACGGACAAAGGCGTCCCTGGCATCTCTCCAACAAACGCATGCAACAGACCTATTAATTATATTCTACATAATGATGGAAAACTAAATATTGCCATGCAAAGCAAAATGCCCTCCTTTTAGCCTCCTTTACGTTGACAGTACTAATTCTCGACAGAGTAAAACTCAAGATTTCATGATGCCCTCAAAGCAATAATAGTTCTTTTTCCATCTTGCTTTCCCCAAAAATCTGTCATCTCCCAGCAGTCTCTCCAAACAAATATCAATTATATCAATTAACGATGATGGAAGTGCCCAAGAAACACGTAGTTACCATCATCATAGCTAGATTTGGTTCTATACAGCCATAACAATCAATCAATCAATGAAGAATTATCATCCAGAAAGCCAGCAATGCTTAGCTGTAAAATACTGATGTGGGAAATTTTTCTACATTCTTTTTCAATACCCAAGAAGTTACATCAATGATATTACCAATTACTGCTATTGCTTAAAAGGTTAGAAATTCATTCAAGCATGGCTGCAGATATAATGAAACAAACAAGATAGAAAAACAATACCTTTTCAAACATAAAAATAACTTTACTAGCAAATTATGGCAAAAGTCTGAAATTAACAAAACACCATAATTGTAAAATCCTAACTCGAAAACAGTGAAATATGGTCTCGCTTAAATCAATGAGAAGGCCAATGCTAGGGACGGCAATTTAGACCCTATCTGCAATTACTCAACCTGCTCCACCTGCTTGAGTTGGGTAAGTTGACATTTAATAAGAGATTGGAACACATTTAAAGAAAAAATAGTTTGGGTTTTGTGTGGAGGTTGGGTAGTGCAATCCCAACTTGTGCCCTAACCTGAACTTGTCTCATATCCCCATCAAATATAATATATATATAATTATCAATATCAATGGTAAGAATAAAGCCTAAGATTAAAGAGGTTTGTTCTCAATCTAAAGTATCAAGCTTATAAATTTCTAGCTCGGATTTCAAATATTTGTAAATTGTAATATATGGACAGGAGAATCAATTTGATAGAACATACAAGTTTCTTTATGTGTTTTGGGACGTGGAAGGTATGGAGCAACAGAATACCAGAGGATACGGATATAGGACAAAAAACCAGCAAGGATATAGGAGACAAAATAAGGAAGAAAATTGGATGGGGATGAGTACCCAAAAAACTTGCCCTGCCCAGTGTTAATGACTCTTAGTGATGTGATTCTCCTCTTAATGAAGAGAATCAGCCCCTTTACTGATTGAGCCAGATCATGATCCTTTCCACTCTTTATTCTTTTCGATTTCTGCCTTTATGAGTTCTATTTCTTTCCTTTGGCTGCAACAAATTTGTAAAGGAGTCTAAGCTTATTTTCTTCACCTAAATTACTATTTATACCAGCTGTTCTCTTTATCAGACAATAGAGTACTCTACATATATTCCCCTCTTCTGTCCTAAAATGTTCGAACACATAACAATACAAGCTCTGTACAAAACAACCAGACTACCCAATTTCCGAATACATAGCATTCTTTTCTCACGCTTACTCTTGGGGGGGGGGAATGTCAATAAATCATGAGCCATAGAATCACAATATGGAAAGTTAAATTCATGTTAGAATTTTTTGCAAATGATGATTCATAATTGCCAGCCCATTCTCCACCTTCCATTGTTTGTAAATATTGCTGCTCAGTTCACAAATTTGTTCACAGTTACTTCAATTAAGAATTTAACGAATAGCTGAAAAATTAGCAAATTCTTTCTCGAAACAAATGATGTACATAATAAACAAAGTTAATGCTTGAGACTCTCATTGAAAAGGAATTGAAGATGCATAATCAACCGCCAACATTTCAAAAATAAAAGACAACTCTAAAAGGGATAAAAGTGCAGAAATAGAGACTTGAGATTTTGGCAAATATAACAAGTACCTCAAAAAATTTGATAATTTCAAGTCAAAGATGCCTTCAAACTTTACAGAAGACAATAATCATATAAGGAAAAGAAGTGAACTTCAGTATGTGACCATTCAGCCAGCTACCTTTATCGCCCCCAATTCATTAATCTTTGAGCTCTTATGCTGCAATAAAATAAAATAAAAGAATGAAAGCTTAATGAATAGACAAGGAGAAGCTACAAGAAGTATTAATGCATAAAGAATCAAGAGCACCGAATAAACAGATGGTAACTTATCCAATGACAGCTTCTCACTTCATTACCTTACTTTTCTTGTGCTTGTGTACATCAATAAGATCTTCATCTCCATCATGCTTCCTTTTCTGTAACATATGAAAGGGAAAAAATCGTACAGAATGAAGTTTCCACATCATTTTGAAACAGTATGAAACTGATAGAGTACCGAGTAGCATAGGATAATGAGTTGTAGACATATTAGGAATAATTATTATTTTCAAGTTATTTTAGATATTATCTGTTTAATAATATTTTTTAGATTATTTTTCTGTTTTGTCGAGTGGTCCTAGGAGTAGTGGGTATCATAGATTACGCCAGTCATTTTATTTATTTATTTATTTATTTTTCTAGTAGTTATGCCCCCTTATCTGAGTTATGGATGCATTGATGGGAATATTTTTAAGAATTATTAATCATTGTTCTGTCTATAAATACTAAGGTACAACATGTAGAAATCATTTGGAAATACAATCATTATTTTGTTATATCAATGGAAATTCTCCTTCGGCTTTATTAGTTGCATGAGTTTAAGATTCTTACTCATCTTCTATTAAAGATTTTCCTTCAGCTTTAAATCATCTAGAAATACAATCATTATTTTGTTATATCAATGGAAATTCTCCTTTGGCTTTATTAGTTGTATAAGTTTAAGATTCTTACTCATCTTCTATTAAAGATTTTCCTTTATCTTTATTAATTGATGATGTTGGATTCTCATCTCATATTTTAATATAGATTTATCTTCTTTATTTCTCCCTACCTACCTTAGATCCTATCAAAAACAAATCTTCATACTTCCTTTTCAAATGCTGACATCAAATCAAAGTCATGTCCTGAATTGGATCGTAATTCACAAGCAACTGAGGGTTGATAGCATCAACAGAACTTTCTTAAAATTCATGTATAACCAAAACAAAACGGAATTCATAAGATATTCAATGAAGAAACTAATTAATTTCATCAAATTGCAAGATGACAGTATTATGATCCAATACTATAGAACACTGAATGAGAAAAAAGCAGCAGAGAAAAAAATTCCTCAACCTTTTCATGGTGTTTCTTGCCATGATCAACACTGGAAACTTGATGGCCACTTGTATCCTTCTTTTTTTCCTTGTCTTTATCTTTGCTTCGGTCTTTATGACGATGCTTGTGCTTCTTATGCTCCTTGTCCTTCTCTTTGTCCCTGCCCTTATGCTTTTTATGCCTTTTCTCCTTGTCTTTAGACTCACTTTTTGATTTTCCAGCAATTGTGGGAGCTCCCTTCTCACCCTATTCATAAGATGACATGATCAATAGTTTCAGGTATACAGGACAATTATGCAATGGCAAAATGAAGTTCAGAGCAAGAAGTTTCTTACTGGAGGCAAATCAATGGGACCTGTTTCCCTAAGTTGAAAGGTTTCCTTTAGAATATCTAAGTCAAAAGGCTGTATACGAGCAGCTGTATCTCTTGAGAAGGATGGAGTTTGAATAAGTTGATCCAACTGCATATTATCTCCTTTTCTGATTTCTGTGTCTCCCACGACATTGTAAAGATACTGTGTGTCCAAGATTGACTCAGGAAGTGACCTCTTGCAGAAAAACTCATAGTGGGGTAGCAATTTGAAATGATTTATAAGATCCACAGCCCCTGTCAATTCCCTTGGTCCTAATGGTTAAAATAACAATGTATGAACTAAGTGAGAAAAAATCTAGCCCAAGAAAAAGTTACAAGCCACTTCACCCATAAATTGTTGAAAGAATTAGAACAAAATCCTTAAAAGGGTCCAATTGGAACTGGAAATGCTAGTAAGAATAAAATAAAACAATGGATATCAAGCAACCTGGAGAGGATTCATTCTGGCTCAAATTCCTGAAACAGGTTCTTATGGCATTCCACACTTACAATTGTCTAGCCTCTTCATACAAAGTATTAAAAAAAAAAGTACAAAATAACAATGATTAAAAAAAAATATTGCATAACTAAAACAACAAAATATTGAGAAATGCAACTATTATAAACATGAGCCACAACATAATGCTTTGTATATAAGCCCACACATACTGTCATTACATAGCAAACTTTAAGAGCAAGAAGAATCAGATTTTCATCACATAACTAATCTGCACAAATCAATATGACATTTCATGCTGAGAGAGAGAATTATAATGTAGATCAACGTCCCTCGAATGACACCAAAAACCAAAATACCAAGATCACATTAAAATAAAAATAAAATAAAATCTGCTTAACAGTTAACAAGTTTATCATCTTTACCACCATCAACAAACTAATTGAGATGAAAATTCAGAAAAAGGAAGAACTAGAGCTCAAAATAGAGAATTAGAGGGGTTACAGAGAAGATGGGGGAAAACAATAAATAAAGCAAACATCTCTGAACTGAGTAATGAATGGCAAGGATTTGTAGTTTTCCTGGTCTCTAGTCATCAGCTGTTTAAATATAATTGCAAGAAAATATTAAGACAAACTCAAGTGCGCCTCATATAACAATTTGCCAAAAAAAATGCAACATTAATGGGCAAAACAACTCAAATAACAGTTCATCTATGATGCTCACTTATTTCAAGTCAGAAATACAATCTAACAAGCTACCCCAACTTTGGCATAAAAAATCACGCAGTTTTACAGCTTGAGCAATGATTTTGACAACCTTTATCAAAATGTAAAACAGCAACTTCCCCTTCCACTGTTTTTTTGTATATGTCATCCTTCATCAATAACAGTTTTCCAAAATTTGAGGAAAATAGTTCTCCCCACTTTTATACATCAACTTCCCCTTCCACTGTTCCATATCTTTATTACAGCAATTTCATATTTCCCGCTAAATTATTGGTCTATCCCCTAATCCATCTATGATCATGGTATTGTGTTCAATAATTGATTTCACTTTTCATAAGAAAGTAATAGAATTATCTTCAATACAAAGTAATGAAATTTTTTAATTTCTCCAAATTTCAAACAAACACTAAAATCTGTAATCATATTCAACAAAGCATAGAACTTTCTTGGGCCATGACAGATGTACAAAGAAAGCCATTGGAAGTGCCGATGAGGATGGTTGAACAGACAGGTGAGCCATGTGAAGAGAGGTAGAGGAAGACCAAATAGATTACTCAAAAATTATTGAACGGGACCTTTTGGTGAACAACATATCCAGAGATTTGGTCGTTGATAGAGCATAATGCTGTGTGTAATCCATGTAGCCAACCCCATTTAATGGAATAAGGTTTGCTGCTGTTGTTGTAGTAGTTTTCATGTTTGAATAATTTTTTAAGAACATAATAAGGAACTGAATGTAGTTGAAGCAACATATTGTAAGTCATTGGCAGTCAATTTGAAGACACTTATACAACATACAAAAAAGAACAAAAAGGGATCAGCAAACTTAAAAGCTTATCATACTCAATATAGCCAAGATATCCAGTGTCCTCATAAACCAAGATCTCTAATAGAGCACATAAACACTAAACACCCTATTTTTCCTCAACACAATGGTTTACACTAAGAAAATCCTATTCAAAACAAACCAACTTAAACAATATTATAAAACCAATTCTCTATGGCCACCACATCATCATACAAATAAATCCAGAATACATAAAAATCAAAACATGATACATGGAAAATTACATTTTCAAAGCTAAGCACAAATATGGCAAATGATTACCTCCTCCAAACTTCTTGCCTTCTGGATCCATGTGTCATTCTTTCATGAGATGTACCATCATCAGCTGCAATTTGTTATAAAACAAAGCTGTTTATCCATCAATTTCAGATGGCCCAAAACAAATCCATCAATTGCAGGATGTTTCAATAGCAATAGCAAATCCATCAATTTGTTATAAAACTGCTTTTACACTTCTAAACCGACAGCCAAACAGACACTAAATATGCAGCCTTCAAAGTAAATCCTAGCCTTGAAAACTACTTGATTCTTTAATCTGAAGTTAATAGTCAGTATTGCAAGTGATGTCAAGGCAGTAAGTATTCTTCTTAAAAAAAAAAAACGAAGCTCATTGGTAGCCTGTCTGATATGGACCTCTACTTTAAATTTGAAATACTTCTTGAAGACTCATTTTTTTCCTTTAATGTTATTTACTTTTTCACGTGTCAGTTTGTTGAATATACATCTACATACGTATAGCTACCTACGAATATACAAAAACACACACATATATACCTCTCAGACCCATATGCTAACGTTCTACCAATTGTACTTGTTTGTTCTTCTATCTATATAATCAGGTTTGTGGAAGGGAAGAGTGGAAAGTTACGTAACTGAAGAACATATGTATTCAAGACTACAAAATTTGAAGCAAAAAGATGCATTTGGGATAAACTGACAAAAGATGTCCTGAATCAACATATAGAATTCAGAGATATCAGTTCATTGTTTTAAAAAAAAAAATTAATGTTTTACCCTCAAATTTGGCAACAAACATTAGCATTAAGAGAAGAAAAGGATGTAAAGAATTACAAGCATTCTTTTTGAAAAGTCCCCTTTCCATCCATTCCCTTAAATTGATTTTCACCCGTTCAAATGCATTATGAAGAGCATTTAGAGAATATTAACGACATGGTCATATGAATGGTGATGAAGACTAACATTTAATTTGTTTTATACTTTTGTAGGTAACTTATAATGAACCTCGTTATTTTAAATCTGGTGTGCTTGTTTAAAATGATATTTACTTTTTCATGCATTAATTTGTTGACAGTATACATATCCGACATCCCAGGATTTCGTATCATACTGTATCATATACTCCATATTACTGTTTCCTAATTTTAAATACTCAGATAAGGTTTGTGGAAAGAAATGGAGTGCCAGTTATCTTCGTTTGGAGTCAACGTATTCAGGATTGCAAAAAAATTGCATTTTGTGTTGGTATAGGATCCCAACTAAGATAACAATATTCCATTCATTTAACATACAGTAAGAGCCAATGGCTAAAAAATTTAAACACAAAATGCAAGGGCCCACAATCCCCAGAACGAGACCAAACGATTGAAGTAACCAAAAACTAAGTTCATTCCCAACAACAAGAAAATAGCAATTGATTTCACCCGAATCAACATATGGCTGAAGGATAACAAAGACCAAGAATAAAAAGAACCGAGATGGAAAATCATCCAAAACGGGAAGCGAAAGCGAAAAGCCTTACCAGGAGAAATCTGAAGAAGGAGAGAACAGAAGTGGCGCGGTAACTAACAGAACACAAAAAAGCGGAGCCGGCACGGCGAAAATGGCGGCGTGCAGAGGCTGGCGGTGGCTAGGGTCCGAAGACAGAAAAGAATAAAGAAGAAGCAAAAAACGCTTAAATGCTTAATTGATCGAAGGAATTAATATCATCAATAATTAAAAAATCAATAATTATCTTCTTTTTGGTAGCAAAAATCAACAATCACCTTCATCAATAGTCAATACCAATAATCTATCAATATTCAAACCTTAAGTCAGAAAAACACAGCCCGCAGAGTTTAAATAATTTATTATCATAAGCTTCCATTATTATAACTTACTCACCATGTCACAATATAAAATATTAATAATTAATTTATACTGTTAAAAAATATTAATTAACTTGGCCAAAAAAATATTAATTAAAATTTTAATTTCCTAAATAAAATTATATTTTAAACTATTCTCTCCTTAAATATTTTATACAAGTGCAATTGAAATTCCATTGCATTATCTTAAAAAAATAAAAAAATTGAGATATAGTTGAAAAACAACTAATCCAAACAAATTCCAAACAAATCTAAGCAAGAATGCATGCCCACATTCCTTATGTGTTCCTTTATATCCAAATTGAAGTCTATACTTAATATTGTTTACCTGAGTAAAGATAAACTGACCTAAGCCCCAACAAGCTGCATTTATTGTGTCCAATGTGGGGCATATCACAAGATAATAATTCTATATCGGCACAATTAACCTTCCATTTTCTATCCCAAACCCAAACATGTTATGTATAAAAGATTTCTAAATAAATGAATTTTTGAATAGTTAATTAAGCTTCCAAAAACAAGAGATTCAAATTGAACATAATTATATAAAATTTTCATCCTACTAACAATACATTTTTCAAATAAAAAATATGCATTTTTCCAAGCATTATATTTCCAAACAATAATTTTTTTAATAAAAAACACACATAACCAATCACACAACATACACCACAACATAAAAGTAGAGGTTACATTTTCTCCTTGCAAACAAACCTCCCCTTATAACTATTCCTTTTCTTCCAATAATATAATGCTAACACCACAATCTACATATTATATAATGTCATGCCCGGATTTTTGTATGCTAATTAATGGAGAATTTAGGAATAAGATTTAAACAAGGATATTATTCAATTATTCAAATATGGAGAAATATGGTAAATGATTTTTAGAAGATATTGGGATTAATATATCATTGGATAAAGATAATCATAAGTTATAGACTAATAAATAAGGATTATTTTTGGGGCATAAAGAAAAATTAGAATATGATGGAAAGAAATATTTGGAAGAATTAAATTAATATGTGTAATTAGAAAATATCCAAAAAAAAATTAATTATAAGATTTAGAATATTAGGGTCTTTTAGAAATATCATCATTCTTCCCATAAGATTCCACAATAAAAATTAGTATTTTGAGCCCATGGATGGAAATGGCTTGTATATCAGCAAATAGAAAATAGGGAATTAGGCTTGTATTTATTATTTGGATTAATAAATAATGGGCCACATTGAAGTAAGGATGCAGAGCACTTGGATGACAAAAGGAAAGTTAATCGGATACAGCGGCGTGAGTGGAGAGAGAGAAGTGCGTATTCAGCTTCCATGGCTATGGTAAGAGTTTCGAGAGAGAGGGATTAACCAGCCAAATACCTATCATTTAAACCCTAACCCCACATGCAAATGCATGTTCCAAACCTACTCAACTCAAGCTTTCATCTGATTATAGTGGTTTCTTAGGATTCTAGGTTTGAAAGAGGAGCTTAGAGAGATAAAATCTTAGAAATTAAGGCTGTGGAATGCTTGGAATAAGACAAGCATAAATTTATGAGGTTTTGGATAAAATCAATGAGTTTAAGTAAATAAAATGTGTGAATGAAAATACTGTTATGATATCTTGTAAAGTTCATGTATGGGTGTTTTGAGGTAAGAATAATGAATGGAAGGTACCAAGTTAATACCCATTTAAAATAAGATTAAGAAAATCAATCGTAATTTTGCCTTGTTATTTCGATTATTATTTTGCTGAACAGGGGAGTCTCAGTTGTTATTTATATGGCTGAAGGCATGGGCAGTGCTATGTATAAGTCAGGGGGTAATATGTTATATGTTTCACTAGAGAAAATTATAAGGAGGTGTTAGATGTTTCACTATTTAATATCTCTTGGTCTAAATATTTTGTGCCCCTTAGCCCAATTTTAAAAATATTTGGATTTCAAAAAACATTTAAATATATTCAATTGAAACCAAAAAAATGTTGCACCCCTCGTCTAGAGTCTTGGCACTGCCCCTAGTTTAAGGGGGTCATAGTTTTTTGTGTGATTAAGAGAAGAAGAGAGTGCGTCTATATATGTGGATAGTTTTGTCACCATGACTAACATAGGAATGTGAAATTTTAAATCTTTACCTCTTTTGTTTGTTAATGGTTTCAATGATGGAGAGAAGAGTTATTTGTGGTTCTTAATTGTTTAAGTGGAGAAGCAAAAATTTCAATTGGGGAAGTAGAGTGGAATGTTGGCAGTAAGTATAAATTTTAGAAGGCATTTCTTTGAGAAAGAATAGGATAGAAGTACTAATATAATGTTATAAATAAACTATGAATTTATTTATGTTGGATTGTGGAAATGATATGCTAGTGATTGGATAATTTTTAGGCTTTCATATTTGTGAGAGGTTTCAATAAGTTCTTTTTCAAGAGAAGTTGGGATAAAAAAGTATTTTGATCTAATATAGCATTTCTCTAATTCATGTAATATTGTTGTTCGGTTGACGTAATGTTATAGAATTTTTTAATACCATGATTTGCAGAAAATATAATTTTTGTGAGATGTTATTTTGCTTGTATATATGACACTTTGGCCAATGTATATCTATACTTGCTGAGTTTTTTTTTTAATAAATTCATGGTCTAAGCTTGTTGATTTTGATGAGTTGACCATTGCTTAAGCTTGAAATTAAATAGACTAATGCTATTGAAATTTTTAAAAAAATAATATAAATGATCAAATTATTTTTAATTCAAACTTGTAAATTATTGTTGAATTCTTATAATTTTAAGAAGATAAATTGAAAATATTAAAATAAAACTTGTGAATAGTAATTAATATTTGCAATACTTGACGAATAACAAGATTTTAAATGTGACCTTGTAAATTATTGATGAATTCTTGCTATTTAAAAAAATTATGAATTTTAGAACAAAATTTATGAATAGTAATTTATATCTAAATTAAGGGTAATTTGATCATTTATATTAATTTCTTAATGAAATTTTTTTTAAAGATTTCAAGAGCATTATGATATCTCGAGAGATTAAAAAGTCATTTATATATAATTTAAATGAATTTTATTGCAATATCCCAAAAACAAATCTAGTCAAAAATAATTTATCTTTTACCCTTGATGTTTCACAAAAAGATCCTTTTAAGAGGTTCTAATCTACAAAAAGGATCTAAAGGATTGAAGATTCTAATCAATCTATAGTATAGATCAATCCACTTCATATTATTATTATTTTTAGTTACTTATAAATATTTTTTTATTAAAAGTAATTATATTTAAAGCACAGTTGATGTAAGGTTAGTTTATGTTCACAACTACCTCAAGCTTCATATAGTTTTGATTGCATTATATTATCAACATAATATCATTCAGTGATCTTTTTGTTCATCCTTCAATATCTTGATTGGATTCTCTCTCTAATTTCAAACAATATGTCTTCAAAGCTACATATAAAAGCTAAGCTAGGTATAGCAACAACTACAACAAACCATCATCTCCATCATCATATAAAAGGCTCTATTTGGGTTTTGTTTTTAAAAAATTGTCTTGTTTTTTAAAATAAAAAATAAAAAATTGTTTGGGTAGATGTTTTAAACTTAAATACTTTCAAAACTGTTTTTATTTTTTATTTTTTTGAAAATAAAAATAACTTCAAATTGTTTTTATTTTTTTATTTCTAAAGCACATTACATTTGATTATATGTTAAATTATCTTCAGTTAATCAAGTACTATTATAAGCCATCATCATTAATTAATCACTAACGATCAACACTATCAATCACCCAATTTCTAAGTGGCTTTTATAGTGAATGATGATAATATGGATAATATAAATATTATTACGATTTTCAATTTTGGTAAAATAAAATAACAATTCTTTCATCTATTGATATCGAACGAGCCGTTTATGATATTGTAAATGAAAACACAAGTAATTTTGGCCGGAAAAAAAAAAGCGCAAATTAATAAACACACACACACACATTACATATACGGAAACTCTATACTTGGTGACTTGGAAAATGCCCATGAAATTAGGAGGAATATATATCACTACACATAACATATAAACTCAAATTGTACTTGCTAACTTAGAAAACATACGTGAAATTAAATAGGTTACAATAATCAAATACCAATATTGTTGGCTTTCTCATCTGCATGTTCTTCGCGTTAAAGACGGATGAAATGATAAGTTGACGTTCAAAAAACTGAAACAAGCTTGCTCCAATTGAAGCCAGGGAAGCAACCATTTGTATAGGAAGAAAACTAGAACGTGATGGTGTTGCTTGTGGCGGTGGTGGCGGCAGATAAGAAATCGGCGGTTGAGACAATGGAACTTGATATTGAGGTGGATAATAAGGTGGTGGCGATGGCGGAGGAGGAGGATATAGAGGTGAATAATATTGATGGAGTGATGGCGGAGGATATACAGGCGGCGGATAATGATGAGACAATGATGGTGGATATGAAGGCGGATAATAGCCCGGCGACGGTGGAGGATATAGAGGTGAATGATGGTGAAAAAGAGGAGGCCAGTCTGATAAATTTGGACCTACAGAAAAATCATGTGAAGGATAGGAATATTGTGGATAACTTTGTGGTGGCGATCTTTCTGAAGAGGATGGATCGTTCTGCAAACAAAATTGATCACTTATGATAACAAGAGCCAAACATTTATGAATTTTTATTATTGCACCAAAAAAGAGATATGAAATATTTATTTTTGATAATTCTTACTCCCCCATTAAGAAATATTAAACATTTTTAAGGGGTTAAATGTTTAATAATATAAGATATTTTTAGTGTT